GAGAGGGGGTGAATTTTTCACTTTCCCCCTCTCTGAATCTGTCTCTCTCCTCTTTGATGAGCACATGTGCCCTATTATAAGAACCTTAACAACAACAAAAAAGAATTTAAAATGACCTCTCCATATTCACTTATTGTTAGGAATTTTTCTTAGGGCCAACAGATGGCATGATGATTGGGGCACTGGACTCCCACATGGCAGCTTGCTTTCTCATTTTCTCTCTCTCTCTTTCTTTAGTGAGTGTCTGTATCAAATTGGAAAAAAAAAATTGATGGTGAATAAAATTAAATAAATAAATCTTCAAAAAAAAAAAGAGAAAAAATTTTTTCTAGAACTGGCTAGATTGTGATTCAGGTCAACCTGTGACGGGGTGGTTAAGGCAACTGGATCCCATGTTCCCAACTACACCATTTGAGTCCTGTACCCAGTGGCTTAATAAACATGCTGGGTGTGTGTATATGTGTGCCCAGAATCCTAACAGGAAGGGGAAATGGAGGACAAGGGATGGCGGAGTGACCACTCCCCATGGCAATTGATTTCTTACTTTCCTTCTATCTCTCTCTGGTGACTGCACCCTCTGCCCCCCCAAAAAAAGTTCATTTTTATTTGCTGTATTTCAGAGACTTTAATTCATATTACAATGTACATGAACAATGAAATGTGCCCAACTCTGGGTCTTTCTCAACTCCTAGGGCATATATACTTTCTCACCTCCAAATTTTCCAGAGTCAATGGAATACTTTGAGCTATTATTTCAACCTAGATCTTTAAAATAAAAGAAATACCAAGAACACAATATCTAAGCTCTAACACAATATCACAATATCTAACAAAATCTAAGATATACTTTTTATATATATATATATATTTTTTTGGAAAGGTTTTTGCTAGAGGGCGTGTGCGCTCGCCAGACAGACAGAGAGAGACAGAGAGACAGAAAGTGAGAAATCACCCCACAGAGGGGATGGCCACGCCACAATCCCTTCTCTTCCATTCTCCTCTCGGGATCTTGGGCATGCACGCACATGTGCCCGGCGTGGGTTTTAAGCCACCAGGTCTGGGACGCGAACCACAGTCGACTACGTGGGAGTTCAGCAACATAGCCATTACGCTAACTGCTGGTTCCCTATATTTTAATATCTCTGACATTGGGATGTGTCTTATCATTAACGGTATATCATAGTCACTGTGCAGCTTTGCTGAGCACGCATTTTGTTGTTTGTACATGCACTAACCTGGTCACAGCTGCTTGTACTGTCATAACTTCAGTTGAATTACTCAGTTGTTGGTGCACGAGGAGAAAGTTATTGTGTATGTGGGAGGGGGGGTGTGCATTTGATATTAGTGACATGCATACTGATTTGGGGCCACTATTTTATATTTTCTTGCAAAGCAATAATCTAGTGCTCTACAAGACCTAAGAAGGAAGATACTCAAAGCAGATAAAGTACAGTAACTTTTATCATTGGGATAGGCATGAGATGATTATGCACCATACACTATGCAAAGCAACTAAAGGCCAAAAATCATATTGCTAAATCCTTCAAAATATAGTAAAATTTTTTTCAAAGCAATGAGAAGTTGGAGTGATAAGAATATATCAAGCAGGACTATTGTTAAAGTATTATGACATCATTTAATTTGCTTTTTGTTCTTCTAATTTATGGCATCTTAGGTTCCACAATGTGGGTAATTCATGAATCGTGTCAGCATTGTTCGATCCCCTCTGGCTGGTGGTGGTCTGTGTCTAAAGCTACCTTCCCTGCTCTGTTGATGGAAAATAGCATCAAGAAATCCAAACTAGTCTTAATCAAAGCAAAATACTGAGCATGTGCAACTTTTATTTTAGTCATAAAATTATCAACCCAGCAAATTGATTTTTGGTTCACCTCAACACAAATGACCCTGACCACAATCTGTGCTTCATTAAAAAGAAAACTGGCCTCTGTCTTTCTAAACTTTTAAGATAATGACTCCTTAAAATTTCCTGGTAATTGTAGAAAATATTCATTTTACACTATTTTCATGGCAACTACGTATATTTGAGGAGTTTACATTAAAAGATTTCCTACACGAGAACAAATGAAAAGATAGTTCTGACATAGCTATGGCTAACAACAACAACAAAAAGTATGTTCTTATTTTTTTTTCTTTAAAAAATTTTGCCAGAGGGCATGTGAATTCACTGGTGAGAAGACGGAAAGAGAGGAAAAGTGAGAAAGCAACCCCCATGAGGGATGGTCACGCAGTAATCCCTTCTCCACTTCTCCCTCCTTATTGAGATTTGGGGCTCTCATACATGCAAATGGGTGTATTTCTCAAGCCACTGGTCAGGATCTCAAATCATGCAGTCAGCCATGTGGGATTCAGCTGCCTTAGACACCAAGCCATTGGCTAGTCCCTATGTTCTTCTTTTCATATGTTTTTATATATTATTAGGAAAAAGGGAACGTTGCATATGCATAAATATGCAATTATTGCAACAGCCTAAAACTTCATGGTTTATTTCAGCAAAACTGAGATACTCAGACCTGTTTAATGGTCTCAGCAAATATTTCATTATCTTGGTTAACAGATACAAATCAAATTGTGGGAGCTGAGTTATGAACCTTTCCGAGCTTTGCAAAGACACATCGTGGGTTTTTATAAACTGACTGTAGTAGGATGAGTTGGCCCAGATTAGAAGAGTGTTACATTTCCTCAGGTAAGTATTTGTCCTCAGGAAACTCAGGACGCTGTGTCATTTATATCCATGCCCCAACTCTCCATACCCAACAGCCATGCTCATGCAAATCTTGCATCCCTAATCTCATTCTGGGTATTTGACTTCTACCGATGATATCAGGATTTTATCTTTCTCTACTAACATAAGGCCTTTTCAAGCACAAGTTGGCCCTTGGATTACAAGAACTAGCAGCAGAGGGATCCTTTTTAAAATTACCTAGAGAAATTTCCCTAGAAAATTACCTAGGGAGAGAACCAGCAGTTAGCGTAATGGCTATGTCGCTGAACTCCCACATAGTTGACCGCGGTTTGCATCCCGGACCCAGTGGCTTAAAACTCACGCCGGGCGTGTGTGCGTGTGTGCCCAAGATCCCAAGAAGAGATTGGAGGAGAAGGGATTGCGGCGTGACCCTCCCCCCTAGGGGGTGATTTCTCGCTTTCTGTCTCTCTGCCTCTCTCTGTCTGTCTGGCGAGCGTACACGCCCTGTAGTGAAAACCTCTCCAAAAAAAAAAAAAAGAAAAAGAAAATTACCTAGGGAAATTCAACTAGATTTGAGTCTTGAAATAAAACTTAGGACTTTATTTATTTTAAAAAAAATTGTATTTGAGATTTAAAGTGTATTCAGGCATGGAATATTTTTATGCCTTACTGTAGTATAAATCTGTCATTTTTATGTACTCCATACATATACAGGATGTGATGAGGAAAAGGCGTAGAGTTTAAAGTATCTGTTTATATTTTTTCAGTTCATAGATGTATGTCAAATCTGAAGAATTATATTGTTTATTGAAGCTTCAAAATAAAACGGTCATATTTCCCAAGTTTTTCTGGTAAAATATGCTGTACCTCTCTAATGTCCAGGTGGAATCCAGGTAATTTAATCTCGTTTGAAAATTTATACCTGGTTCAGGGGACTACTCTGAAATAATGCCTTATCTGCTTCTTAGATCTCCTTTCTTCTCAAGAGAGAGATACAGTGATCACATCTCATTGAAAACTCTCTTGCTGCAGTTTAAAGCTACTTGCCTTTTATTCTCTCTTCAAGTTGAGAACAGCTTGTCGCTATTTTCTATTTAATAATCTTCAAGGATTTGACAATTGTTAGTAAGACCATTCCCAATCTTCTCTCTCAGACACTTTACAAATCTATCCCTTCATTTGTTAAGCTTTTCAGCACTTCAGTAACTCTCTCCAGACCACCCACTGGGCAATGTGTCTTTTCCATCTGTCTCAGACTGTTGTTCTCAAATAAGTATGTGGCCAATATAAAAGGAAGATGAAAGAAGATGGCTTCCTCTCAGTTTCCTGTCTGGATGACAATAGCTGCACTAGAACTTCACTCCTCAAACTTTTAATGAGCGATATGGAAAAGTATCATCTTACTGCTGGAGTGTGATTTCCAGATTTGCCACTTTACTACCTGAGTGATTTGGGGCAAATTATTTAGCCTCTCTATGCTTCATTTTCCTCAGCTGTAAAACGGTGACAGCAATAGCCCTCCTTGAGATATTAGAAGGATTAAATATGTAAAGCATGTAGAATAATACCTGTAAACATTAACTGTTATAATTATTACGTAAGTTTCAAAATCAAAAGTTGACTATGGTTCATACTGGAGGCTTGTTCTGAATTCTAGATGGATATCCTGTTTATAGTAACTTAAAACATCAGCCCATTGTATTTTAAGTTGATGTAAATCAACCTGGCATTTTTCTCTTAAAAGTGTAAAGCATGAGTATATTCGTTCTTATAATTCCTTTTAAAAATTATTATTATCCCCAAATTTCCTAATGCCAATTACCATAGCTCTTTAAGTTGTTATAGTGATAAAGGAAAATAACATTTCATATGAAGGGCTATAAATGGGGTGGCCAATCATCTTGGCTTTTCTGGAACTGAGGGGGGTTTTAGGACATGAGACTTCTGCTAAGAGTGGAAGTCTTACATAAACTGGGATGGTTGGCCACCCTAGCTGTAAAGGTATTATGTAAGGTGGGAGTAGAAGAGAGAAGGGAAGAAGCAATAGCAGTATTATTAATGTCATCCAACGCAAAATATTTCTTGGCAATTCACTGCTGTTCTCTTAATTTTTGACTCATGCAATCCCTCATGAGTATCTGAAAGGTGAAATTGCACAAAACTAATTAATTCTAAATGTCAGGCATTTAGACTTCATTTTTGCTGTTATTATCATCTGTGGTATAAATTTCTTCTCCCTCATTTTACATTGTTCTGCTTTCCTCTGATCATTTTGTGCTTGCTCTTTTTCTTTTAGGTCAACTCAAATAAAAACCTACTCTTGGGATAATGCCCAGGTTATCCTGGTTGGGAACAAGTGTGACATGGAAGATGAACGGGTCATCTCAACCGAGAGAGGCCAACATTTAGGAGAACAGCTTGGTAAGGAACAAATTAACAAACTAATGAGAAAGAGAACTTGATCATTATTTTGTAACATTGCAGAGTCCCAGCTATTGTCAGAGTGGAGTTAAAGAAAAGTTAGTCAACCTACCCATGGAAAGCAATGCATCCTCAGTAAGCAGTCAGCACATTTTCTCCCATTTCCTGTGTCATCAATAGAATTCAAGCATAATTACATTCAATCACAGGTATTCAATTTTTTATTCCATGCCTACTGTTTCTTTGTTTTTGTTTGTTTGTTTTCTTCCTCCATACACAATATTTTGTGTTGAGTGAACACTATTCATTGTGCAATTATTATTGTCTTTAGTTTCCATTAGAGGAAGGTAATGGCACAGAATAGGTCATGTCCTAGTTTGGTTCCAAGATCATCACTGATAAGCCAAGTTATTATTACAAACCTCTTTGAGACTCAATCTTCTCCTTTCTCAAGAACAAGTATCATATTCCTACTTAACTGAATCTTTGTAGATAAAATCAAAAGAGAGAATAGGTTTTGAGAGCTGTAGAAATGGCAGAATAATTTCAAACACAAAGCATTGTATCTAAAATGAAAAATACTGAAATGAGTTGGGTAGTTTCCATGCAAAGGAGGGATTGACAATTGTTAGATTCAAAACATTTTTACTGAGCACCTAGTATAGGACCTCCATTGACCAGACATCATGAGGGAACATAAAACACGTATTATTGGGACCAGCAGGTGGTATGGTGGTTGGGGCACTGGACACTCCCACATGGCCAACTGTGGTTCAAGTCCCGGACCTGGTGGTTTGCTTTCTCACTTTCCCTATCTCTCTCTCTGGTCAAATTAAAATAAATGAATGAATAAGTGAAATTAAATGAATAATTTAAAAAAAATTTAAAACCTATTATCCACCCAAAAAAAGCAGAAATAACTAGACAACCAAAACAATTCAATGAAAAGATGATGATGAACTAGAAGGAAGATAACAAGAGGGAAACAATGGAACAAGAAGGTAGACCCAGGGAGAGAGAAAACACTGCCAGAAGGGATGGAAGCAAAGGGGGAAAGGATACAGATATAGAGTAATGAGAAAAATAGAGAAGATACCCAGAGACGTAATGAATGAAAATGAGCAGAACTGGAAAGAGGTAAATAATGAGGGGAAATGGAAATCACATGTGTAAAATGACTAGATTGGGCTTGATGGTCCCAGGAGAAGGGAAGAATTTAAAACTATGGGGGAGAGGAAGCATTCTGAGTAAAGGGCATGGTAAAGTACAGACACTGGGATGAGCAGAAGTGGAGAAGACAGTGAGGAGAAAAGAATCTAGTGTAAAGTTGAGGAAGTAAGGCATAGATTTGGGGGTCAATTCCAGACCTAGAAGTGAAAGAGCTCGAGTTCTTTGGTTGGTTGGTTTTCTGTAGACCGTAAAAAACATTGAGGAGTTCTTAGCAGTGAAGAATCTGACTTTCCAATTTTTTGACCAGGACTTGAAGTAAGAAATATATTCAATCTAGCACCCATTATATACATTTATATAGAGAAAGAAATGAAACAAAAGTCTCACAGAACACATTTTACACTTACTAGGTGAGATTTACTCTATTTTTTATATGAGTCTCTCTCTCTCCTCTTGCTCTCTCTTTCTTCTTTTCTTAGTTTTTTGTTGTTGTTGTTGTTGTTGTTGTTGCTTTAGTATTGGATACATCTACTCACCAGAGACAGAGAGAGAGAGCAGGAAAAGAGAAATCATGATGGCCATGCCACAATCCTCTCTCCCCTGTTCTCTTTTCAGGATCTTGGGCACATGCAGATGTGCACCTGTTATGACTTTCAAGCCACCATGTCCAGTACTCAAACCACAGAGTTGGTCATAGGGGGTCTAGTGCCTTAATCTCCATGCAATCTGTTGACCTTCTTCTTATGTTTTTCAATGATGGTCTCAACTCACCAGATTGATTTTCAGCCCCAGTAATGAGTCTCAATCTACAATTTTAGAAACACTGTTGTGAATCGGGTATTCTAGAGTCAATCCATTGGTAATGTGCAAGACAGCTTGGAGAAGCAGAGACTCTCTCAATGGGTCACTCTGTCCCTTGGTAATCTCGCAACTGAACTATGCACAGTCCACTTGGACAGTTTGACCATTTCCTCTGAAATTAATGAGCTTGTTAGATTAAAAGTTATCACTGCATGACCACAAAAGCCCTCCTACCAAACCATCTCTGTGACCTATGAAGAAGTCACAGAGCCAATGTCTGATCTCACTGGATCTTTAGCTTCTCTGTCGTAGGACCTCCCCTCATTCTCTCCATTTCACAGTAATTTAAGAAGAATCTGAAAAGCATAACAATCTTTCCTTAGAACCTTTATACTTCAGGAAGCTAGGAATGGAGAAAAATAGATCCCCAAAGAAAGAGGAAAAGGAAACCTGAGAGAGAGCATGCTGGCAGGTGACATCCTGAGATACTTCCTTTCTAACACTTTCTGGACTAGCTAGGTATATGACACATGGAATAAAATGATACATCAGAATAGGCTAGCTACAAACCATTTAGTTAAATTTTTTTAAAAAATATTTTTTAAAAAAGAGCCAGGAATCGATGTCATTGAGACAAAACAGCCAGGTGACTGCCTAAATTTTTCAGCACTCCAGTAAATTACTTGGATGTTGAGAAGATTGGGTTATGGTAGAGGACATTAGTATAATAGAAATACATCAAGAGGGTGACTTTTCATACATTGTGGCATACACAAAAACCCTCTTCATTCAGTACACAAGTGTGGAAAAGTTTCTGAAATTGTGTGGTAAAAATGGTTTATGTTCCTGTGTGAGTTCTTCCAATGGTTTCTCATTGATTTCTTGCTGTCTATTCAATAAAAACCAGCTGTTGTCATAGTAACCAACACATGTGCATTCTTGGAGAATCATTTACCTCCTTTATAGTGTTTTGTTCTCCCTGTGACTACACACACTTCTACAAATGATCATGAGAGATCTTTTGTATGAGAAAAAAAAATTTTTGGAGATTTTAAAGGTCTTTGCTTTATTTTTAAAATTCCTGGTAGAATTCCATTTTCCAGAATACCATCACATATACACGAAGGTTAGGCAGTACTTTTATTTCTTTTTTATTTTATTTATTTATTTTTTATTTTATTTATTTATGTTTTTGTCTCAATCAAGCACATCAACAAACATGTTATTGTAAGCAAATAATTTTCCATTTCTTGTTTTCTGTATGTTTTGCTTTTTTCCCCCCCTATCCTTGATTCCCTATCTCTTACCCTCTGCCATCTCCCACTCTCCTCCCACATAGATTCTGGTATCTATGTTTGCTTTCTATACTGTTTCCCCTCCACATTTTATTGAATTACTAAAGACCTTAATTAATCTAAATTTTTTTTTGAGAGAGATTTTCACTGTAGAGCGCGTGCGCTCGCCAGACAGACAGAGAGAGACATAGAGACAGAAAGCGAGAAATCACCCCCCAGGGGGGATGGTCACGCCGCAATCCCTTCTCCTCCATTCTCCT